GAACCCGGGGCCTTGGTGCTATCAGCACCACACTCTCCCGAGTGAGCCACGGGCTGGCCCCTAATAGAAAATTTTAAATTGCATATGTAGCCCACATCAGATTTGTGTTGGACGAGGCTGATACAGAACACATCTTCAACCATAATATGATTAAGTTCATGGAATCCTCTGGAGGCTGACAAGTTTAAGAAGAGGGAAAGGATCCACAAAAGGGGAGTCCGGGTATCAATAATTTGGCAGCTTTCAAGGGCAAGATGCGAAATCCAGCAGGTGTGCAGTCGGAAGAGATCTCTGTTGTATGCAGAGTTCATAGATTTGCCAAGCGAGCCTTTGCTAGGATTCCACATTCAGCAAAATATTGTAAGTGGGGACTCATCCTCCTGGTTTCCTTATACATAGGTTGTAATTATTTAGATCACTGCAAAGAAATATTCCCTACAGTATATAATGCACAGACACATTTGGGTGTATCTATCAGTTTCTTGTTTGTTTGATTAGTGACAGCCCCTTGAGCCCATTTATTTGAAGGTGCCCTGTGAAAATGGAAATGCCAGATCTGCCAAGTTGAGAACCAGACCCTGCCCACAGGGACCACAGCAAACCCTAACTGGGGCCACTGTCCTCTCCAGCCTGTCTTCATCCCTGGGCAGTAAGCTCCCTGAGAGCAGAACCATGGCTTAGTTGCTGTTGTACTTAGCACAGTGCCTGGAACATAGGATAAGCTCAGAAAATATTAAAACATCACAGCAACACCACCTCCCCATAATAGATCCAGACATGTCCCCAGTGCAGGCCATGCAGCTGATCCCTGCCACAGCCCTCTTCTACCCCTGGGGAACCAGAAAACTATCCCAGGTTCAGGACACTGCAAAGTTGATGGGGCCAATGGGTGGATGGCTTGGGGAATAATCGCTTCCTAACCTGCGCCCCAAGCCCAGGCTCCTCTACCCCAGCCCACTGAGCCCACCAGCCCCTCAAATGCTCCCCATCCTCCCTGTGAAGGTCTCTCTGCCTCCCCTGAGAGTGGAACCAGGGTTGAGGTGAGGGGTCACTCACTCGAGGGTGCCAGCCCCCCGGCAGAGATGCAAGGGGCGCTTCCCATCCTGGTCAGGGATGTTGGGGTCAGCCCCTGCCACCAGCAGCACGTGGGCACAGGCAGCATGGCCCACAGCACAGGCCTCATGCAGGGCAGTGCGGCCCCCAGGGGCACTATCCGGCCTCGCCCGCCGTCTCAGCAGCAGCTGCAGAACTTCTGTGTGGCCACGGCTGGCCGCCACATGCAGTGGGGTGGTCAGCTCCTCCTCATACGTCAGAGACCAGAGTCCTAGGGAGAGAGAGACATGGGCCTCAGATCCCGAGCGCAGGCAGAGAGCTGCCCACCAATGGGGTGAGGTGGGCAGAGGTGGGAAGAGGGAGCCCAGAGCTCATCTGCAGCCTCCCCTCTCTCCCACTCAGACCCCCCAGAGCCCTGGCCCATACTCAGAGCGCGGATGTTGAAGCGGAAATCTCTCCATCGCTCTGGGTCGCTGGTATCAAAGATGGAATCAGCAGCCAGGCCGGCACTGGAATCCGCGAGGATGCGGGAGACAGAGCCCACGTCCCCTGCCAGCACTGCCTGCCAGAAGGCGAGGGCAGGCCCAGAGGCCGTGCGGGTGACGATGGGTCTCGGGCCAGACTCAGGGTGCTCCTCAGACCCTCCACTGGGCTTCTCCACCAGCCTGGCACAGAGGGTGTGTCTGTCACCGGGGGGCTCTCCCTGCCCTCCACACTCTTCTGGGGACCAGCTCATGATCATGTGGGATGGGGGAGGAGGGTAGGGAGGTGGAGAGGTAGAGGCCAGAGCAGAGAGAGGGAGAGGAGGGAGACAAAGACAGATGGAGGCAGAGGGTCCCTGTGTCCTGAGCCCTGAGCCTGACCTGGCCACGCGGCTCAGCAGGAGCTATTCTGGGCTCCGCATGACTTCACTCCTGGGCCAAGGTTTAGGCTGTTGGGCAAGCTTGGGGTGAGGGAAAAACAGCCAGGGGCTCTTTTCCTCAAGCCCTCGGGACCTCTGTGCCTGAGGTGCTCAGCCCAGCCCCCCTTGTTCTCAGGCCTCTCCCCCCAGCTGTCCCTCACCCCTCTGGTGGCTGATCCAGCGAGGCTCAGCGGCTCGGCTCTCCAGCAGCAGGTCGGCTGTGCTGTGAGGAGGGAACAGCTCCTGCAACCTCGCCAGGTCCCCCGTGTAGAGGGCATTCTGCAGGGCCATGTCACGGCACAGTAGTGGTGATGGCTGAGGGGCCCCCCAGACTGGGCCCGACTGGAGCCCCCTGGCCCCACAGGCAGGGGCCAAGGGGAGGAACCCCAGATGGGGCCCATAGTGGGTAAGAGAGTTCCTTCCCCTAGGCATGGCTCATTTCTGGGAGAGAGAGCCAAAGCAGCAGGACTCAGGACAATGCCGCTGGTGGCAATTAGCCCAAGCCGGGTGGGGCCAGTGTGGGTGGAGCAGAGAGCACAAACTGGCTGAGCCATAAATAGCCCCGACTGTCCTCCCTGTAAGCACCTGGGACGATACCCTCAGGCTGGGAGGGGGAGTTAGGGAGGAGCAAGAGAACAGTGAGGTTAAGACCTCCTACCCTTGGATTCACCCCCAAGGTTCTATGGCATCCAGGGTTGAAAGGAGCCACCCAGATCGTTCAGTCCAATCCATCCAGCCTATCATCTCACAGATAAAGGAAAACAGAGTTCAGAGAAGAGAAGCGATTTGCCAAGGTCACACAGATCACTTGTTGCAGAGCCGGGACTGGAACCCCAAATCTCAACCTATTTCTTGTCTATCACCTGCTTCACCAAATGGGCCTCCAGTTGCCTGGGCTCTGATCCCAGAGCGAGGGCCTGTGGCAGCCGAATAATGTTTTCTGCCCTTCCAAATGTCGTCCATCAGCCCTGCACCTTCCCACTCCCAAACCCAAAGACCCAAAGGGTCCACAGTAGTGACAAACAGCAGAGACCACCCCAGGTGTGAAGCACCCCCTCTAGAAGAAGGGGGTTCTCCAGAAGAAAGATTTCTCCGCCCAGGGAAACAGGGCTCAGCCTACAGGCAGCAAGAGAAAAATCCCAATGCACATCCCAGGTTAAGACTACCCCCGTGCCCATCCTAGATGAAGACCCCCCACACCCATTCTAGGTGCCAACACCTCCCATGCCCATCCTAGGTACAGATACCATCATGCCCATCCTAGATGCTGACACCCCCCATCTCCCTAGACTTCCCAGATGGCATCTCTAACCTGCCATGGTTAGATTGGATATCAGCTGGACAGTGAGAAAGAGATGCGTCTGCCTGTTCAGGCACATTAGCATAACGAAACTGCTTTCATTTGGGGGGATAAAAAGGAAAAAAGGGGAAAAGGAAAATGTAAAGCCAAGCCCCTGGGCTCACCTCTGGTCCGCTTCTGCCTACCGGCAGCTCTGGGGTTGCTCCAGCCCCAGTGGTCTTGCCTTGTCTCACTCACACTGGCACTTTTTTTTTTTTTAACTTTTTAAATCAATTCATCTTTTTTTTTTTTTTTTTTTTGTCTTTTTTCGTGTCCAACAACGGATCGCAACCCTCAGTGTCATGCCCATACCGGACTGGGACCAGCAACGGGATCGCAACCCTCAGTGCTGCACCCACACCTCGCTCAGCCAGTGAGCGGGAACTGGTCTGTATGTGGGATCCGAACCCTCGGCGGGAGCGCCGCCGCGCTCTCAAGCGGCACACTGTAGCAGTGCGCCACCGGGCCGGCCCTCAATTCATCTTTTAAAAGTTTAATTTTCTTTGGTTGACAAATAATGATTGTATACATTTATGGGTACAATGTAATGTTTCAATATATGTATACCTTACAGAACGATCAAATCAGGGTAGTCAACACATCTATCACCTCAAATATTTATCATTTCTTTGTGGTAAGAACAATTAAAATCCTCCCTTTTAGCTATTTTGAAATCTACATTATTATGAATTATAGTCACCCTACTGTGCACTAGGACACCAAAACCAATTCCTCCTAAATGTAACTTTGTACCTGTTGACCAGCGTCTCTGCTTTCCCCATCCACTCCCCCACCTCCAACCACCCCAGCCTTGGATAACCACTGTTCCACTCTACTTCTAGAAATTTGACTTTCTTAAATTCCACATACAAGTGAGCTGATAAGGTATTTGCCTCTCTGTGCCTGGCATATGTTGCTTAACATAACGCCCTCTAGGTTCATCCATGCTGCCACAAATGATAGAATTTCCTGTTTTTTTAAGGCTGAATAGTATTCCATCGTGTATATATACCACACTTAAAAAAATCCATGCATCCATTAATGGAAACTTCGGTTGTTTCCGTATCTTGGGTATTGTAACACTGCAACAAACATGGCAGTGCAGACATCTATTTGGCATACTGATTTCAATTCCTTTGGGTATATATCTAGCAGTGGGATTGCTGAATCATAAGGTAATTCTATTTTCAGTTTTTTAAGGAATCTCCATACTGTTTTCCAAAACGGCTGTACTAATTTAGGATACTACAAACAGCATATTAGGGTTTCCTTTTCTCCACATCCTCTCTGATATTTATCTTCCATCTTTCTGAAAACAGCTGATCTAGTAGGTAAGAGGTGATATTTCATTGTGGTTTTGATTTGCATTTCTCTGATGATTAGAGATGCTGAGTGTTGAGCATTGTTTCATGTATCCGTGGGCCATTTGTATGTATTCTTTTGAGAAATGTCTATTCAAGTTCTTTGCCCATTTTTTTAACAGGGGCATTTGTTTTCTTGTTATTGAGTATTTTGAGTTCTTTGTATATATTGGATATTAGCCCCTTATCTGATGTATGATTTGCAAATATTTTCTCCAAATCCACAGGTTGTCCCTTCACTCTACTAATTGTTTACTTTGCTGTGCAGAAGCTTTTTAGTTTGATGTAATTCCATTTGTCTATTTTTGCTTTTGTTGTCTGTACTTTTGGGGTCATATCTGAGAAATCTCTGCCCAAACCATTGTCATGGAGCTTTCCCCCCTGTGTTTTTTTCTAGTAGTTCTACAGTTTCTGGTCTCTCACTGGCTCTTGCTGCCTGTGGACACCCATTGAACCTTTATTCACATACTCTGTGTATTGCCCCTGGGTCTGCCTCTTCTGAGAGAACTTTGGAGCTTCCCAGCCCTCAGTGGTATGGTTGGCCCTGCTCCCCGAGTTCCTGAACCCTGCCGACCCCTGAGCTCTTCTCTCCCCAGCAAGGGGGAACCCACAGATGGACTCCCTCCCTAGGGGTAGGAGGCTGTGGCCCATTGAGGCCCCAGGGATAGGCCATGGGTCAGAGGATGGACTGCAGAGCTGGGGCAGGCCCGATGGCAGGGGAAGGAGTCTTTGGAGGAAAGAGGTGAAGACAACTCAGACAAGGTGCTGGGTCTGCCAACAGCCCTTGTCGTGGCAACAAAGCCCCTCCATTTCCCTGCACCCTTGCTGAGCCCTCTCTCCTCACCCCACCCCAAGCACCCTCACCTCTTTGACTTCCCAGGCACTTGCTAGAATAATTGAACCCTAGAGTAGAGAGGGACCTTAGAGATCGGCTGGTCCAATCTCTCCTCACTTTATAGGGAAGGAAACTGAGGCCCAGAGACAGGAGAGGACTATCCAGATCACACTGGAAGTTTGTGCCAAGCGGGGTTAGAACCAGGGACAGCTCACCTCCAGACTCTTGCTTTTTCCTTTTTCTGTACTTACTGCGGACCTTCCTTCTCCCCTCTCTCCTCCTCTTCCTATTTTTTCTCCCTTAAATACCTTGAGGAGGAAGAGAGTTGGGGGGCCAGGCCAGGACAAGGAGAGGGAGATGAAGACATGGGGGTGGGGGTGAGGACAGGGATGTGGAAGCCAGAGCCGAGAGGGCAGAGGGAGGTGCGGTGGAAGGCCAAGGCCAGGCACAGGCGGGGCCTGGAGGGAGGGGCGGGAAGACTGGGACGTGGATGGACAAGAGAGCTCGTCCCTGAGCCATCTGGGTGTTTATGCCTCGGGGCACTGCCCAGTCCCACCCCCTCATGTCGGGCACCCTCCGCCATCACTTCTTTCTCTTCTCCTTGGCCAGCTGGGCCTCCCTGGCCTCCAACTGGTCCTTGCTAAGTTTCATACTCTTCTTGCCCAGTGGAGTCTTGAAGTACCAGTCCTGGAGTGGCAGGGGAGTGGGAGGGGCAGGTCCCTCGGATCCCACCCTAAATCTGCCTCCTGACCTCACCCATCCCGTTTCCTCAGCAGCCTATTCTTCTCTCCTCCTGGGGTGCAGGGGTCCTGTTGGAGGTGGTGCTTCCCTTGCTCCCCACCAAATACTCCAGGCCGCAGTATCAGCCTTCTCAGGGGCAAGCCCTCCTCCCTTCACCCCTGCAGTCCTCTCTCCTGGGCTCCCAGGGCCATCCTACCCCCAGGGGTGGACACTGACTCAGAGGTGGAGAAGTGGGTGGTAGCTGGTGCCGAAACCAACCCAGGGCTCCTAATATATAGGTGGCCCTTTCGGTCTCCTACCCTCAAGGAAACCAGGTGAGATGGTCCTGCACACAGACCCCTAGCCCTTGGCCTTTCCTGGTGATTACTTTTTCCCTTTTCAGCTGGACTCCGTGATCCTCTTAACCCAACTGTCTTCTGGTAGTTTGGGGAAGCAGAGGGAGGGGTCCAAGGTGTGCTTTGGGCTGACCCCACTGCTGGCACTGCTCGCCAAGATCCCCCAGTCCCCAGGAGCCTCACCTTCAAGGACTCCTCCTCCTCCTTGTACACTGGATCTAGCTTCGCCA